GGGGGATGGGCCCGCGCCGGCCCCAGGAGCGCGGCCCGCGCTCTCACCGCACCCCGCGCGGGCGGTTTCCGCCCCGGCGGGGAGACGAGCGCGGCGCGCACACACACAACGCCTCTTAAAGGCTCCGCGAAAGGCTCTGGATGGAACCGAGGACTCGCCTCTCGCAACTTGGCGATGTCACGGAACCCGCCGCTCGCGCACCACCCGGGACTCCCGGCGCATCTCGGTGCCCACAATGCCAAAGAAAGAGAAAAGTTCCCCGAGGGCTTCGCACAGTGCTTAGGGGATGGGGGTGGGAAGATGCCTTGAATGGAGTTGGCGAGCTTTCTCCAAACGAAAGATTGGGTCAATTTCCTGGTGATCGGAAACCCTTCCTGACTTCAACTCTGATCCCTTCCTCGGTTTCGTAGCTCAGTTTTTGTTTTCTTTTTTAGGAGGAAAAAATAAAAATAAAAAAGCTGTTCAGGGTCTTTTCCTCGTAGGGTTAATATTTGACAGGTATGTGGCCTGGCATTTTAATTGTTCAAATAAAGCATCTCGGGATGCTGAAAAGCAGAAGTAGACTTCATCTCATTATCATGACACAATTAAAATCCATTTTCCTCAACTTGATCCTCTCGTTGGTTTTGGTTAAGTCCCAGGCCAACGTCCTGCCACAGACCCAGTCGTGGCAAGAGGGGAAAGACCCTTCTGCCCCCGCTGATGGACAAGCCGAGGCTGCCGCCCAGCCTCCCCTGTGCACACCCTCTGTGCACGCATGTAAGCGCACATGGATCAGACACACATTTGTCAATGTACACAAAGACTTCAGCCACCATGCTTCTAGGTCATAGAACAGTTGAGAGCGGACTTCATTGTTCTTCAAGTTCCTTTTAAGCATTCATATAGTCGTTAAAACACACCCAGAGATGCTGCCTCCCATTGGAAATAATGCCAGTAGGACTCACAAGGTCCACACACAAGCCATGTTCTCCCTCAAACAAGTCCCTGCGAAAAGAGGATGCCATGGCTATGTGTCTTTGCATTCCAGGGTGTTTGCTTTGAAACATTAAACACACAGAACTGTTCCCAGAACACACTCTTTTCCACTGCAATAACCTTGCTGTTCCATGATGATCAATTAGTGGAGGATGATGATTCACATTTATACAAGACAATTCCATCTCCATCAGAGACACTTCACACCAGGGAAACGGCCCACCGCTAAACCACCCAGGTTTATGAACAATTAAAATATTTTACAGAGAAGATGCTGAACTCCAGGAAAACATATAAAGAGCGAATTGATGAGCGCAGAAAAGCCATCCTTGGGAGCACAAAACATTTGAGAAATAAAGGTATTGTGAAAAAAAAAAAAGAAACCAGATGTATAATTGACATTCTGTAGGTGGCACTTAGCACTGAGTCTTTCACACACACAGGTAGAACACCAGGTAGGGACTACACCAAGTGTGTGCAGAGGAAGGCTGGGTTTAGGAAAGGAAAAAAATTCCTGTTTAAGCTTTCCTCCTGAAACCTAGTCCTTATTCTTCCTCTGCTGAAATCACACACTTCACTTAGAGCTGCAGGTGCTGGGATTATTTGAAAGTTAAAAAAAAATACTATAGTGGACTCAAAACTATGATAAACCTGGTGTATAATAAAGATTGTGACAGACAGAAGCCAGACTGAGAATTTCAGGTTGATTAGAGACGCAATGTAACTTTCCCCCAAAGAGGACAAGAAAGATGGAAAAGACATCATTTCAGAAGAGAAGGTTTTAAGGGATTTTTTTGTTGTTGTTGTTTGTTTTTCCTTCAACCTCTAAGATTGCAGAATTGCCCGGTGCTACAAGTATCGGTAGGTGAGGTCGAGTTTAGTAGAGGTCTGGTGGGCTGGGGCTGAGCTAGGAAATCTAATGATTAGCCCCATCTCAGTTTAATAGAAGATGAGAATAATTGATGATCGGGAAAACTTAATCTTGCCTCAGGAGTGTGGAGACTTCCATGTCAAGATCACCTTTTTACAAACATTCAAAGGGACAGCTAGGAGCAAGAAGAGCTTCCTCAGTCTACTTCAGAGATTTTTGGAATTTAAAGTGTGGCCTTAGACTGAAAATGAAGAATTTTCCAACCACCTCCTATAAAATCAGAACCTGCTAGGCACACAGCCACAGAGCTGCCATGAAGCCAGGGGTGCTTCATTCTATTTCAGAACTCATTCAGTTATAGAAATGCTGTTTAAATGACCATGTGAATTGTAGTTCATTTTACATAGGAAAAAAAAAAAAAAACAGGGCTACAGACCGAAGGAAAAAAGAGGCAAAATATTCTTAAATGTCTTCCTTAGAGATACTTATTTGCCTTGACTCTAAGTTTGCAAAGCTCTAAGACTGAAAGATAAATACCAATATATTGTTAATGATTTTTCTTAATCCAGTTTAGTCTTTGATTGTAAATTTATTTTAATGAGAAAATTGGCAAGCTTTCATTTGGCTGGACAAAGTTGGAAAAACATGTGTCCCAATCTGATTTAAAAAAAAAATAAATAAAAAGGAAAACAAAACTCCCAGGAATAGGATTTTCTTGCAGAGAGTGGCGTGATGGGCTGTAATTCTTTACAGATTAAATCACAATATGAATACAGACCCCAGCAAATGCCGAGTTTAACTCTGAACTCAGTAGAAACCAGTTCCGTCCACCAGGATTCATTAAATTCCTCCTTTCCCTCAATCTAGTCGGTGTGTGTTTTTCTCTTCCAACACACTGGAGCTCCATGAATAGGGAAGGGGGCTTCCATTGTGTCTCTCTGAACTTCCAAGTCAATGCAATTTTTAACCACTGGCTTGTGGTACTTTGAAAATCACCAGGGGCTGTCAGAGTTGGGTCCTCTGAAAAATTTACAGTGCGAAATCAGAGGATATGCTGGGAGGGAAAAAATTGCTTAAGATTGAAAGCAAGTACAGTATCTGTCTGCCCCCTAGTGTAAGAGTCCTCGCTGCCTAAAATTCAACTTTAAAAGAAAAGGAGCTCTTAAAGGGAAACGACTTGGAGCTCACGTAGGCGCAGGAGAATGAAACTTCTGTACGTTTTAATCTGAATAATTCCTCAAGATTTAAAATTAATTGGCTTTGGCTTGGTTGGACCGTACTCAGCTCTCGCCACCTCTGCGTTTCCCCGGAATCACTGGCGTAGAGGTGATTTTTTTTTTTTTTTTTTTGCTGGGTTTTTGTACTTTTTTTTTAGCTGGGTTTATGTACGTCCCCCCTCACCCCCTCCTCTCTTTTTCTTTCTCTCTGTCTCTGTCGTCTCTCTCACTGGCTTTTTCAAAATGAGGGAACCGTTCCTTGAACGTTCTGGACAGAGCGCAGAATTGCTTCTTTAAGTCAGCCCGGCGCGGTTGCAATAGCCAGCCAAAAGGTAAACCTTTGCCTGAAATCCGCACGCCAGCTCCACCACCCCGCCCGATGGTGAGTACCCCTTCTCGTCGCGATTCTCCTAGCTTAACCGAGCGCTCGCCTTCCCCAACCGCGGCGCTTTCCTCCCTCCCTGCCTGCCTGGACTGTCAGTTGCACAAGGTTGCAAAATGAAGCTCAGAGGCAGTAGCACAGTCGATTCTGATACTTCGAGCGAGCCTAGCGGCTCCTTGGCTACAAAACCCAGTCGTCTGCAGCTTGGGAAAAGCCACGCTTCTAGGACTGGGGTTTTAGTTTGCTCTATGGAAGGAAATGAGTTTCAGGAGAGAGGATGAGGAGCTGGGAGGCACCTCCGTCTTTCTGCTTTGATTTAATCATATTTTGGCAGCTTTTTGCGATTGTCTTTTCGCCCTCGCCCCCCTCCGCCACCTCTCCTTCCACACACATGTAATAAAATACGGCAATGCATTGAATTGACTCTGTCCCCCCTTCTCCGAACCCCTTCAACCACAGTCCTAGGCATTTCATACACGTTAGCAAACCGATTGTTTGAAAAGCCCCAAGTCATCCCCAACCCCACACAGCACAAGGAGAAAAGTGAGAAAGGAGAGAGAGAGAGAGAGAGAGGAAAAAAATACTGTAAGTAAACATACCAAAACCATATTTGCCTTGTTCAAGGTCCCAAACCGCTTGCATCTTCCTTCTACACTGGAATAACTCTCCTTTAGTTTGGCGGGTGAAATAAACGCTTTGTTGGCCCCCTGAAAAGATGTGTCTTTGATAATTAAAGAGAATCTCCTCCTCGGTGTTTATCTAAGCGATTGTGCAAACTGATAAAAAGTAGGCACAAGAGCCTGTTTTTTGGGAAAAAGAGGAAAGGTGAAGGGAGAGATCTTCCACCTCAAGGAAGTGCTTCCCCATGAATTAAACGCTCTCAGCCTTGGAAAACCCTGCACACTAACTTTAGAGAGACAAGGCTTCAGGGAGCTTTGTACATAGCTGCTGAGGAATGCAAGCCTCGCCTTTAAGAAAAAAAACACCAAACCGTAGGTAGGAGATGTCTGGAGTGATCCTTGTCTCTCATCTCATTCCTTAGAAGGAAGAGTGCGTTGTTACACCTTGTTTGGGGCTGGAAAGACGAGACTTTAAAAACACCCGTCCAATTGGAAAAAAAAAAAAATCTCCCAACTTAATGAGTTTAGTTGGAGGCTGGAGCAAAACAGCCCAGGCTCGGCAGAAAACCGCCAACAACTATAGACGATATTGGAAAGCGGGACGACTCAGGCACAGCCAAATTCCAGTGTTTGGGGTCGAGAGGGATGCAGGCTAATCCTGAAGCAAGTTGGAAAAAAAAAAAAAAAAGGTGGGAGAGGAGGGGGAAAAAGCAGCAGCCTCCCAGACTGCCAGGCAAGCTCCCTGCACCCTGGATCAAAGATAGAACTTGAAAAAGGAGGGTAACATTTTCCTAAGAATCCGTTGAAATCTTCATTTTTCTACTTTGAACTACAGTCTCCCCAAGTGATTCTTTTTTCCCCCCCTCTCCCCGGTGGATTTGTGCCTCCCCCTTTCCGGTCCCCATTCTAGAACTTTCCTGAAGAGGAAATCTATTTCTTTTGGGGGGAGGGGTTCCCCATTTCATGCCTTTAGATAATGAATGCTTAATTCATCTCCTCCCTTTATCCACTCCCCAAAAACGAATAAAGGAAGCAGAAATACAGTGTCTAGTGAAAATGGAGAATAAACTACAGTGCCTCTTGCAGTTCAATACGGTTCGAACTAATGGAATTTTTTTGTGTTTTGTTTTGTTTTAAGAGAAGAATAATGGGGGAAACGAGGATCTTTTATTTTAGGCAACTGTTATGGTAAGATGTGTGTCAGACTTGACAAATGGAACTAACACTCTTCGGGTGCTTCTTGTCCTTGTCTTAAACAGGAATTAAGTTAAACACAGTGCTGAATGTTAATTACATGTTTACTGGCTAATGAAAATTACAAATGGTTTTGCCACCTCAAACAATGATGAAAACTCTGAAGACACTGTAATTATATACTTTGAGTGAAATAACTCAGAATATTGATCATAAGAAGTGTAAATCTTTTTTTAACTATTCATTAATACCATAAATATGGGCTACAGAAGTTTTGCCTTGCGGTTTGTCTCATCAGGTTATACTGAGTGGATGGATGGTGAGGCTCCTCTGGGGAGGTGGTGAACTCATTCTCTTAGAAGAAGGAGGCCACTTGTGTAACTCAGGGGTGCTCCCCCTCCCTTTCGCCCCCGCCCCCTTACCCCCAGCAGAAGGACAGGAATAGTTGAACAGGGAGGCAGGGCTCAGGGCAGGTGAAGGTCATCACAGACTGGCCTCTCTCCACCTCTCCCCTGCCCTCCTCTGTCCTCCTCTCGCATCTCCCTCCTCCCTTCTCTGCCTGGTCAGATTCATGACAGCCTTCTCCAGACCGGCTGCTTTGGAATAACCTGGCATTTGGGACCCCTAATAGAGGACCAGTTAGACTGGGCAGCTCACCCACAGTCTGTGAAGCAGCCCTGACAGCCTAGTTCCCTCCTACAGAGATGGCTAGGGCAGTTCCTTGCAAAAGAAGGACCTAAAACGTTGGGGATGGAGGTGGTTATTGAGTAAGGTGGGTCGTGCAGCTAAAGCCGGAACTGGTTCTCTTGGGTTTGGGAGCAGAGAAAAAAAAATGTCGTTGTCATTTTCTTTTCATTTTGGCCAGGGTTGTAGTGTTGGCAGCCACTCAGATCTTCGGGGTCAAAGGTGACGGCTGCACTAACCCTAAAGGCTGGCCTGGCCTGGCCAGAAGGCTGAGCTGGTAGGGAAGTGGAGGCTTGTCAACCACGTTACCTGGTGCTTCAGAAAAGGATGCTATGAGGACCCTACACCAAGGCGGGTTTTAAGTGGAATATTAAAGATTTTTTAAAAAGTGCCCTAGGCTCGTGGGACTGGAATCCTCTTTTTCCCTGAGAATTCCCAAGGCGCTGGGCTTTGTCTTACAAGGAATGGAGTTTCTGAATGGTGTGAAAAGGACAGAGAGGGTCGCTTCAAATCGATTTTACTTGTCCTTTCTGTCTTTTCGGATCAACGCCCTTCAATGGGCACAGAGGTGCTCTTTCAACCAAAAACTTGTGCTACATTTTCTGCCTGTTTTGGTGCTAAATACAATAAGCACTGGGCAGATTTTTTTTTCCCCTTCCCTTTGCTCTCTAAAGCAAGAAAGCACCCTAATTAAATTGTTTTATATGGACAGTCAAGACTGACCAATTAAGTATGCATTAGTATAAAGATATACTCTGCAGATTAGGCGGCTTAGAAAATCATGTGGAGGACAAAGGAGAGGGATCTAGCGTTTGGGAGGGGTGCGTGGTCCCAGCAAGGTCACCCACCTTCCTCCTGCGGGCCCCACGGGAATTGCAAAGGCTTGGGCTCCAGGTGAGAGAGGGCAGCCGGCCGGCTAACAGGTGGGCAGCATGTTGGAGGTTTCAGGCCCAGCAGCCTTGGCGCCCTAGGGGTGACACCCCTCACACCTTACTCTGGCGACCTAGCAGGAAGGTGTAAGTGGGTCCCATAAAACACAGCGCCAACAGGGCAGAGCTCTACTCGGGTCAGGCCCACTGTTCCGTGTCCCAAGTCTAGGGTTCGACCTTGCAATAAAGAAGCAGTGTGCACCCCTGGGAGGCCAGAAAGGCTGGGTTTTAGGGGGTAACCACATGACCAAGGCTGACTGCTCAGCCCTCTGTCCCCCAAGATCAGGGCAGGAGGCCCCCTCCTCGCACCTTCAAAGCCTTTTGCGTTTAAGGGAATGGGAGTTCTCTGCTAGGAAAGTGAAGTTCCTGCTAGACGCCATCAGGCCAGAGGGGCGTCGAGGACCAGTGGCTGGAGTAAGGGAAGGGCCAGGGGTCAGAGACGGCGCCTCTGCGCCCAGCGAATGCGGCTCTGGGTTTCTGCACTCCCTCTCCACCCTCTGAGGTGTGGGCGGGAGGAGAGCATCTCTCCTCGAAGGAGGCGACCCCCAGAGCAGGGTCCCGGGCCTCCCCGCGTCGCGGCGCTGGGCTGTGATAGGTGGTCCCTGGGTCGCGGGGGCGCGAGCGCTGCGCGCTGCAGCGGGACAGGCTCGCGGGGCACTCGGGGCGCCCTCGGTGGGGCGGGGGGAGGGG